ACCTGTTGCACTTCTGGGTCAGGTACGTTAGAGCTTGGCGCTGCAGATGGCTGGTTACTACGTACTACGCACTACTACTACTACTAGTAGATGGGATTCGAGATGTGGTGATGTTTGTGTAATTTGTTTACTGTTTGTCGAGACCAGGTTTGATATTGAAAATTTTGGGGAGAAAACCAGCGGCATGCAAGTTCCCGCATGACAAGATTGCGGCTCAACTCAAGTCTGGTACGGAGTACGCTTAGTCCATTGCTAACTTACTAGTCTACCACTGTCACAAAGAAAACCGAGATGAGAACTGGGTCATCAGTACCTGTTGAACTCAACAATACATTTTGCGCTATTTTGCTACGTGTGTCACCAGCGTTTTGCTACAGGTTTGATACGCATATTGCATAAGCTCCGCATGTATTTTCGGTATCTGCGTTTCGCGCTTTTTCGCTTGGCTGCGCAGCACCTGTACGTATAGATGCACTCTCTACGCCCTCATTTAGATAGAACCACTTGTTATTTGAACTACTTCTACAAGATCAGTCAGCACAGTTTATCAATACTGCAACCATCTAGAACGCTGAGCCTTCACGAGGAAGTAAAACATTTGGAAGGATCCATGAAGTGAAGATTCTACTTCAGGCATCACACACCTAAGCTATCGTGTAGTAGAGATGGTGACCATGAGCTCTGCCAGATCCTCATGATAGTCACATTCAGGCTGCTGGCCCTTTCCACGCTATGCAATTTGCTCTGCCGCCGTTCAAGTTATGCTATTGATGCTCAGATCGTGCAGCCATCACGTGCATGCCCTCCTTTTAGCACCCTGACTTTGTTCGCCACAACGCCTTGCTCAGCAAACGCATTTGAATGCCACAGAAACTGTCCCGCTACCTTATGGATATCTAAAATTGCCTGTGCAAGTGGTCAGCTTTGTTGCTCGAAGTAAGTGCTAGAACGTGACGTGCAAGGCAGAATCGGGGGTGGCAGGCTGAAAATACGCAAGGTATAGCGTGTGAAAACAGAAATGAACAATCTTCTTTCGACTAGTTCTTACCAGTATACTGCGGAGGAACCATTCCTGCAACACCAGGGGGGATTCCAGGTGGCATTCCAGGTGGCATCATCGGTGGTTGCGGGTGATGCTGCTGCTGAGGTTGAGAAGCATGTGGTGGCCACTGTTGACCTTGTTGGGGTGGTGGTGGTGGTTGCCGAATTGGCGCTGAGCTAGGAATTTGTACATTTCTCAAGAGTTCTACCATCTTCGCGGGATCAAAGCGTCGGAATTCGTATGTTGAAGCCTTCGGAATAATACTTAACAGAAAAGCCAGATGGCCTGGAAGTGGCGCTGGGGGAGGCATTTGTACATGTGACAGTGGAGTTGGTTGAAAATTCCCATTAGCGCCAAGGGTGCGCTGTTGCTGATTCATGCGTCTTCCTGCTGCTCCCTTGAGTGGAGATTCTGCGCGAGCTATTTTGCGAGGCTGGTTGTCTTCCAAATCATCAATCGGTAAAGGTCGCTTCGGAGAGTTCGTTGCCATCGTGTCTGTCACCCTAGTGGGAGGGGAGTTGTTGATCGATTGATCGCCCTCAACCGAGCGGTACACAAACGCAGATGGTCTAATCTGCGTTGAAGAAAAGATGAGACGAACGCTTGTAGGGTCGAAATTGCGAGAACCATATCGTTGCGCGAAGTGCTTGAGACCTACTGCGTCCTCTGGATACAAATCTCGCATGCGTTTCTCTAAACGCGCAACTTGAGACAACTCCCCAAAGTGAGATTCATATTCGTGCAGAAAGGCGAAGATTGGTTTCGCTCTAAAAGCGGTGGCTGGGCTGGCGGTGAGCTTGCCTACAGTCGTCTCGAAGACTGCTCTGGCATCTACCACACGTCAGTACTGTTGTTCTCAAAAAAAAGTTTAGCACATACTGGTTATGTCGTTGATGGCAATCAAATGCTTCAAGTACTCCAGAGCGAAATTCTCATCTTCTGGGAACAATTTCATGCCGCGTTCAAAAATCTTAGTGCCGACTGGGTCTTTGTAGCAATGATACTCGATGAGAGCATTCTCCACATACACGTCACTGGTGATTTTACCTTTCTTGCGAGCATCGCCGAAAATCACCCGGAAACCTCCGCTCTTCTCGCCCGCCATCCCCTTGCCTTGGACGCGGCGAGCAGCACGAATGAGAGCTATCCAAGCATAAGAAATCGTCTTCTGGAGGAGGGCGGTCTGCATAGCGGCATCCTGCTTGATAGCATCAATCTGAGCTTGAACTGCTGCACGCTTCGACTCGGTTTCAGCGGGATCATCCTCATTCTCCGCATCTGGCTCGTTGGTTGGAAGTATTGCATTAATAATAGACTTGTTGTTCTCTTCAATCCTGGCAATCTCAAGACTTTCTTTAGCTTTCGTCTTGGATGCCAAGTCGTAAAGTGCGTTCAGGACTTTGTCGTATGGGTCTCGCACTTTTGCCATTCTCGTCTTCGCGCCAGGATCATTTCCATCGTCATTACTTGTCGTCAGCTCGATACGATCAGCCATCTTAAAAGCCAGGAGACATGACTCTGGGTTGGCAGCGATCCCCTGTTTGAGAAAATCAAGACCTTCCTTGTCCATGCCGCTTTCTAGGCAGAATTCTGCAGCATCGTACCACATCTCGGGCCAAAATTGTAAAGCCATCAGTGCTTGCTTGTAGGTGAATAGAATGCGCTTTCGATAGGTCTTAGGATCGTCATCCTTCAAAACCAAGTTGTCTGCCTTCTCCCAGTCGATCCATTCTTTCCATAGTTGAACCTGTCTCATGAATTCTGCTTCACCTTCAAAGCCTGGAGCGGGCGGTAATCTGGGCAGAGTCGTCCGGTTCAGATCGCGAGTCATGTTCTGTAATTGTGTATAGCAAGTTCTGGCTGTCATATATGCTGGCGATCTCTCTTGCAGAAATTTACGGCCCTATCATTGTTAGCAACCTAGCAACACTGTAATGAAGCGACCAGCATACATTGATCTTGCTGAGACCCGTCTCAAAGCCATCATATTCCTTCCATAAGGGAGCTAGAGCAGAAGTCGGAACCGCAATAGCTTTCTGATAAGCTGCACGAAGCGAGTCCATCTTCTGAGTATCCTGCCATCCAGTGCCTCCGACGACCCCTGGCCCTGTCTTAATGAAATTAATATATTCTTGCCAAATTTGACCCGAGTCTTTGTCCATGCCAACAATATCGAGGGCGAAATTGAAAGACTCGGAAATAATTTTGTACGACTTCGCAGTATCTCCTGTAGTCATGCTATTCCTCCGTCTGATGTAGTTGAGATAGATCTGCCATAGCTGCACATTTGGGACCTGCAGAAGTGACCGGGCGAAAATCTGCTCTAGTTCGTAAAGGTTGTTATTCTCATTCTCCCATGTTGCGTAAGAAGCCCACTGTTCCGCCTTTTTGAAGGTTAGCAGACGTCAAGAGAAGTAGAAGAGCATTGGACCTTACAGCGAAAGGGAATGTCTTGAAAAAACTGTTATACACACTGCGTACTTCGTCCTTCTTATTACGGCTTCGAAGCTCGCCGAGTAAAGACAACCATGCGTCCATGTCACCCCGGGGATCTTCCTTGATTCGGTCTTCAAGAATACCAATAGTATCATGAGCCAGGCGAGCCTTTGGCAAAGTTGATGTAGGGGTATCAGCACTAGAAGAAGTCTGAGCAATTTTCACCTGAGTATTTGGCAAAGACTGAGCAGGTGTAGCACTGCTATCACGAGGTAAAGCATTTCCACTCTGTACAATAGTAGAAGAAGGAACATCAGAAGCGGCGCCATTTGAGACAATGTTTGCTTTTAGAGAAGCTTGGACATCCCCTTGTATTGATACCTGAGGAGAATCAAAGCTATTGAGGGAAGTTTGAGGAGCAGTGGCAGTCTCTGTTATAGGAGCCTCCATCCCGTCAGCTGAATCATAGACATCTCCGTCCTTTACTTCATCGTCTTCGACTTCTTCATCTTCATCCTCAATGACAAAGCCACCCTTGAGACGAGGTTGTGTCTGTGCAGAGGGTTTGGAAGTAGGAAACTGGGTGTCTGAGGAGAGATCTTGACCTGTAGGCGTAGAGGAAGGGCGATTTTGTGAGGGTGAGAGAAGTGCATGAGGGGCAGAGGCATCTTCAGGCAGAGTAGACACGGGACGAGTAGAAGCAGAGCGCTCTTGCGAGATCTCAGTGGGAACAGAGAAGTCTTGCGGCAATGTTGCTGAAGGATCATAATCATCTGAGTCTGGAGTATCTGCGCTACCCTCCATTTCACCAATGTCTGCACCTTGTTCTTGCATAGCAACCTTCTGTGCGGCTAGAAATGATTGTTCCGCTTCATCCGCCATGATGAGTGGCTGGTTGCGTTAGGAGGAATATGACCCGCGATCGTAAACCAAGGGAGGTAGATCTGGATCTTCTCAGCACAAACTTTCACAATATCAGTGTGGGAGCCGTACATTACTTATCCGAATCCATGGAATGACGCCATTAGAAGAATGAGCAAGATCGATTGAAGAAACTCAGAGAAATTGCTCGGTGATTGTTATTTGTTGCCTTCCTGAAGAATGGACGAATTTCTGGTGTACGGGAAAATGAAACGCCGCCTCCCCTTGGTCTTGGCATCAATCTACACGTCTAAATCACCAGCGCCTGGGACGCGTCTAGATTCCTGACGCTCCACCGTTGGCCGCCTCCTCCTTATCTCTCACGCAACAGATCCTCCGTGTATCCTATCAAGGCATTGACTTCTCTTACAACACATCCTTCTTGCTACATTCAAAAAGACCCTCCGAGTCCTGCCCAACGGTGAGCTGACCACTCCGCACGTTAGCAACGATGTCTGTTGTTTCGTTATTGGGCGTTAAGGTCCTGAACAATCCTGCCCCATTCACGGCGCCATACGAGTTTGAGATCACGTTCGAGTGTCTCGAGCAATTACGAGAAGGTCGGTATCCGCCTTGTTCTATCTTAAGGCAAGCCTAACGGATCCCAGACCTTGAGTGGAAATTGACCTATGTCGGCTCTGCAACCTCGTACGTATACCTCCCATCTCTCCAGCAGGTTCACTTCTAAAGTTTCACAAGCTCCGAACACGACCAAGAGCTCGACTCCCTCCTCGTTGGCCCCATCCCAATCGGCGTCAACAAATTCATCTTCGAGGCCGATCCACCCAGTCTAGCTCGTCTCCCCTCCTCCGAAATCCTGGGCGTCACCGTCATCCTCCTAACCTGCTCCTACGACACCCGCGAATTTGTCCGTGTCGGATACTACGTCAACAACGAATATGACAGTGAGGAGCTGAATGCCGAACCTCCAGCCAAGCCCATCATCGAAAGAGTTAGAAGAAATGTTCTGGCTGAGAAACCGAGAGTTACGAGATTTGCGATCAAGTGGTGAGCTACACAAACCAACTCGCACCTCCTCAACTTTCCTGCCCAAGAAATGCTAATAAGATTTGACAGGGATTCCGAAGACTCCGCACCAGCCGAATACCCACCCGAACAGCCCGAAGCCGATGTGCTAGACGACGACGGAGCCGCCTACGGCGCCGAGGAAGCCGAACTTCAAGCCGCGCTCGAACGAGATCTCGAAGAAACGGAGGCTAAACTTGCTACCGTAAAAGCAGCACCAACAACCACCACAGACGGCGACGCCGAGATGGCAGGCACCGATCAGATGGAGGTGGAGCCTGCCAGCCGAGCCGACGATGAGGCTAGCGAAGCCGGAAGCGAAGATCTCGAGGCAGATAGTAGTGGTAGTGAGGATGAAGATGAGGAGGAAGAGGGCGAAGGAGAGGGGGAAGTCGAGGGTGGTGACGGGGATGAGGATATGGAGATGGGCGATGGAGAGGTTGAGGGTAAGAGTGCTGAGGAAGGGGCTGGTACAACGAATGGCGAGCAGAAACAGCCGATTCAGCAATCTGGGCATGCGGAGGTAATGGTGCATTAAGCCGATTTTTGTTGCTGAGATGGTTATTGCTATCAGGGGAGGAGTCTATGGTGTGCAGGGCAGTTTGCGAGCACGGGAACTAAACGGCTTCTGGTTATTTGCATTGTTTGATGAGAGCTTCTACCTGTACGGAGGGAGTGTTTCGTGAACAATGCTTAGAAAGCAAAGAATGCTTCCATGCCTCATGCTTATTTCGACAGAATTATTCGAACCCTAAATGGTTTTCGGACATCGCTGGGAAGGACGCAAATAGCCAAGATTGCTCCATTTCATGCCCTTCTGATGGAATAAGTCCATACCCCTTTCGAAACTCCCCTAGCGGGCCTCTCTCTGTCCATGTACCACTCTGATGTATACCACTGTCCAAGGGAGCGTTTGCTCCGTCATAGCAACCATCTCAGGGCTCGCTGTAGCCGGCGTCAGCGTCAGCTTCTGCAACGAAATGGTTTAGCCGATTCGGAAAAAGTGAGGTTGCTGTGTCATCGCGCAGAGACGCCACTCCTTGGCGTCAGCGTTCATATGCGGAAGAGACAGACAACTAAGATGGACATATCAATGGTCTAAGCGGAAGATGACCACCTATCATTTGTTGTTGATGCCATGCTGAAGGATCGAGTTGGATCTGGGAACTGAGAATGAGCACATCGTGTGTAGCACATCCAAGCTTGCTTGCATAGATAATTGACTGAGAGAATGTGTTTTCCCCATGGCAAATGAAATAGGCTTCTTTGATCCGACAAATGAATCGCAGTTGCGTACCAGGTGAGACTCTGGAAGATCATTGATTCGGAGCATGAAGACCACTCAACAGAACGGCCTAATCCACACGATTTTGCCGACTTTTTACGTATATGGGAGGAGGCTCCACATTGGAACGAATCGATTCTTGTTTCCGCTTGATCTGATCGCGCGTCGACCGCCCAACTCTCTGCATCACCAGCCTACAGGAAAACTCCAACAACATCCTACCACACCTGAGATGCGGACGCGTGAGTGATGTATTGCAGAGTTCTCACCAAGTGCAGGCTATTTGTTGACTCGGCTGACCTTGACGAACACCTGCTCACTCGGCTTTCTTGGCGCAAACCATTGACGTTGCCTTTGGGCCTCTTGGTTGTAATTTGCCCATCTTGGGTGCAGAACTGATAATCAAACATGGCCACGAAATGCGCGATGATGACGCTCATCTCCAACTTCGCAAACTGCATTCCTAGACATGGATGTCGTGCGGCTCCCCAGCCCCAAATAACCATATGGCACCTTCTTGTCTTCGGCGCGGTCGGGCAGATATCGTGATGGATCCCACTGCTCAGGGTCGGCGAAGATGGAAGGGTTATGGTGAACGTCGGCGATATGATATGCCTGGTAAACCACAACTGTCAATCACCACAGTACAGACGCTTCTCTAAAGCTTGTGGAGATGGCCCATAATACTCACAACGCAGGCGCCATTCGGGATGACTTGGTCACCTACCGCTACATCCTTCCCACTTGTGTTGCGCCGCATCATTGCCCCTACCAATTGCAGGCGAATGCTGTCTCTAACGCACAGATCGATCATTTCGAACTCCGTCTCTCACGCCTGCACAGGAATACTGGCGAGCTGGTCGATGAGGGGGGCAGTCGAGCCGCGATTGTATCTCTCGGCAATGGTCGCAACCTCCTCACGAACTCTGGCCGACCATTCAGGGTTGGTGGCAAGGCAGGCGACTATAAAGGCGGCATTGATACCGGTGTTGAGTTGGCCTGCGAAAAGGGCGCCGATAATGAACTACAAGAATCCAGTCAACTGGTCCGTTCAGTCTTCACATTGCTTCGACTGCCTACAGAAATGATCCTAGTGACATCATCTCCCTGGTCAATCATGTACTGCAACGCATCCTCTTCTCTCTTTCCTGTCTTCTTGCGCTGGGCGACTATGGGCTGTACGATCATGTACAGTCGAATACCAGCAATGGTCCGCTTGAGTCTTGCAGGAGTAGGAAGCCAGGGAAATAGTATGGTAGCCATGGTCGCACTTCCCTGGATGGTCTCATATAACCCAAGCATTTCCCGCAACAAGTGGGGGTCGTTGGCAATCTCATTACAACCGACTGTTCGCATGGTCAACTGAAACACGATTCTATACACATTGTCAAAGGGGTCGAAGATGCCGCTGGGCAAGACAGCGATTTCTTCCAGTCTTGATCGGGTGTCGGCTAGCAGTTGAGGCAGATCTGCTAGAGTCAGAACCACGACATGCCACCTGCTAGATCTTGTACAAGGGGTTTACTCTTGACAAGTTTTCTCGCTTAACCATGGTAGTTATCCGGGTGTTGAACCATTGGAAGAAGCCGCCGTCGCGAACTCCGACGCGAGGGCTTTCTCCTAACATAGTCGCATAGCTTCATCCCAGGTTAGCCATAGCCCAGCAGTACAGCGACTGCAAGATGCGCGCGAAGCGTACCCTTGGTTCAAATCAAGCTGTTTGCTCTCCAGGAATACCCGACGAGCGTCGAGACCGCTGAGGCCAATGACAGGAATCTTGCCCAGATGGAAACTGAAGTTGCCCGTGGGCGAATTGGCCATAGCCTGCTGGAAGAAGTCCCATCGGCGGGAGAAGAAGTCGAACGCACCCACGATCGGATAGTCGTTGCTAATTGGTTGTGGGGTTTTGGGTGGAAAGGGATCGCGGAGAAGCAGGCGGCGAAAGGCAAAGATGAGGGGGATAGCGGCAAGGACTAAAAGCTGAAGGGAGGAGTTTGCGATGAAGGTTTGCATCACCTCTTGAGTGGTCACGATGGAATCCTGTCTGAAGAGTGAGGATGGGAGTGGGAGTGGGGTGGGAGATTGGAGATAAGTCTCATATATGTAACACTACGAGTACGTAGTACAAGTCGGTGAGGGGTACATCAATTAAGTATGGTTCGAAACCCACCAGCGCCGTCCTTTTGGCGGAGTGGTTGATGGGTCCCTTTTCTCTACATACGTAGTACTCGTAGTCAGAGAGGGTAGGGAAGAGCCGAGCGGCGGGAGCCTCAGGAGCCTCGGTAGCCTCGGTAGCTGACTAATTTAGCCCGGCCGTAGCAGAACAAGGATTGCGAGATTGAGTCTTGGCATCTGAAGACGCCCAACTGTTGCGCCTCCTTTCTGCAAACCCTCTTCTCTCTCTTCTACATCCTCTTCTCCCTCTTCTGCATCCTCTTCTCCCTCTTCTGCATCCTCTTCTCCCTCTTCTGCATCCTCTTCTCCCTCTTCTGCATCCTCTTCTCCCTCTTCTGCATCCTCTTCTCCCTCTTCTGCATCCTCTTCTCCCTCTTCTGCATCCTCTTCTCCCTCTTCTGCATCCTCTTCTCCCTCTTCTGCATCCTCTTCTCCCTCTTCTGCATCCTCTTCTCCCTCTTCTGCATCCTCTTCTCCCTCTTCTGCATCCTCTTCTCCCTCTTCTGCATCCTCTTCTCCCTCTTCTGCATCCTCTTCTCCCTCTTCTGCATCCTCTTCTCCCTCTTCTGCATCCTCTTCTCCCTCTTCTGCATCCTCTTCTCCCTCTTCTGCATCCTCTTCTCCCTCTTCTGCATCCTCTTCTCCCTCTTCTGCATCCTCTTCTCCCTCTTCTGCATCCTCTTCTCCCTCTTCTGCATCCTCTTCTCCCTCTTCTGCATCCTCTTTAGAAAGAACGGCCACTGAACGTCGGTGGACACCAAAGGGGGTTCGTTTATTGGGGGTGGGAAGAAGGTCTCTTTTTTGGGAGGTTCCTTTTTGGGAGGTGTCGAATTGAGATAGAGGTGATAGAAAGATGGATGAAGGCCAAAAGAGTGTCAAAGGCGGCTGCAAAGGCCGCCGAAACAGCATCTGATGTCCCGGAATCTAGAGTTGTGTAGGTAGTTTATTGGCTTTTCCCGCAACTTCGGACCAATCAAATCCATGCTTGTTGAAGAGTGAAATGAGATACGTATGGTTTCGAGGTCGGCTTCGGAGTTTTATTTCGCAAACAAGCTTACTGGCTGTTGTAAGTGTGAGTGGCGAGGCCTGCGTCTTTGCAGAGGGCCATAGAATCTTCGCTAATGTGAGAAGAGCTTCCATGAAGTCTGAAGGAACCACATCTAGGGCACATATTACTTCCATCACTGGCCTTACTCTAAGAAGCGTATCGAGCATAGAGCCTGAATGTGAAGCCATTCTGCACTCAGTCTACGATCCTGAGCGCAGCTAGACGCCGGAATAGACCGCCGTCACGTGCCTTCCACATTCGATTCGCTGCTCCATGCTCACCTTGCGACCTTGCACATTGACGGTATGACGAGGCGTTATATGGAATCTATGCTCTTCCTTCCGGCCTGCTTGTACTTCAGCGGCCATATCCAAGGGACGAATATAGATCGGGTTGGTGACATTGTTCCGTTTTCCAGTTCCCAGCTGATAGTACTCATTCCCACCCCACCAGAGGACATCGGCTCCCCAGTTGGTGTCGTTCTCCGAGCTGTTTTCTGATGCGTCGAGGTATGTGACATTATCCATCACAGCGGCCGCGTGAGAGGAACCAACACTGATTTGTGCCATCCGGATGGGAATAACTTGCTTCTTTATCTCATCGTATTCAAAGAGACCACTTAACGATTGAACCTTGGTTGGAGTGCCTTGTAAATGTGTCCATCTGCCATTACCTAAGGTGCCCTTGATACCTTGTCCACAACTCCATGTGTCTGCTGTCACTTTTCCCAGTCCGCGTGCTTCTGAAGCATTTTCGCCAGGTCCAACTACACGTGTAGCGTCAACTGTAAAGAAACTGTTGACACCTCCAGCAGATAAATTCGTTACCTTCGGTATCTGGTTAGTACCAGCATACAGCTTCTGCAATGGCACCAGGGAAGGGGCGTCAATGAATGGTGATTCGGATCTGTACTCGAAACCAAGCTGGCCGCAGGAGTTGTCGCCAAAGGAAAAGACGCGGCCTTCCTTGTCGAGGACTAGAGAGTGGTGGTCTCCTGCAGCTATTTTGGATATATCAAAGCCCTTCAACGTTGTGATCTCATGGCACATATCATAAGGCCCTTCTGGTCGCGTTGACCACGTGATACCAGGTACCCCAAGCTGGCCCCGGGATGGAAAGTCTTCCGTTCCTGATGCCGCAGAGAAGACTCGACCTGTGTTTGTAAGGAGAAGTACATGTTCAAGGCCTCCACTAATGGCGGTGACCTTCTCGTTGTAAGACAGGTCTTTTGGCTTCATTTTGCGATAACTAATATTGGAATGACCGTTCCAAAACGGAATCCACGAAGCCTCCGAAGGCTTCGGTCCTGCTTCTTGATCCATCCGTGACACCGGAATCGAATATACAGATCCATTTTTGGAGAGGCCGACAATCCTATCTCTTGAGATAGCAATGGATTTGAGATCCTTACCTCTGAGGGTGACAGCGGGTTGAGGTTGTTCCTCAGAATATCCTTTACCCCATTGGACTAAATCTCCGTTCTCTTTGATCGCAGCCCCAAAATTTCGATCAAGCTTAACATCTCGCAAAAGGATGTCATTGAAGTACGGAATCCTTCGTGGTGTTTTCACATAGATCTCTTCTGAATCTGGTGCAGCTACTTTGCCAGTGTTGGAGCCCCATGCATAGAGTCCTGGATTTTCCCAACTCCTTTTGACCTGCAGATGTTGAGAGCTCATAAGATCTCTGTTCTCCTCTTTGGATGCACCCGTCTTCCTTTTCGACTTCTCAATGGTCATCTCGACTGATGTAGGAGCGACTTCGGCACTGGCTTGTCGAAGCCCGGAGGATGAATAGAGCATAGCAATCCCAGCTGCAGCTGCTAAGGTGATGGCGGATGAACGAGTCCATATTTTTTGTTCGGCTGTTGAAGGAGACCTATTGTGAATAAACCGCCTTGTTCTCAGGTGAAGTAGCTGAAACCTTCGGATCGTAGTCTTGCGTGTTGTTTGTGCCATTGCACTTCGAGTTGCTGCATGAAGTGACATCCTTAGCGACGCCAGCCCTGTATCGTTTCGTACCGGGGTTCCGCTTAGGATTCAAGGAGGAAGAGCGTTGAACACTCCACTTTCAGCCAATTTTCACAGGCACTCCCAAAGCAAGATCATGGTGGAGCACATCTCCTCCACATCTCCACGAGATCAAGGACGTCATGTACAGCAGCCGTAGGTGGCAGAATTATAGGCACTAAATTGATGCTCCCCGCCTAAGTCCGTGCGATCAAGCCTAAGTAGGTTAGTCGCATTGGGTAGAATAATTATTGTCAGGGTCCAGCTACGCTTATTCCTCTACTACGGTAGGAGGCATAAGTATTGTTAGTGTAAGCCAGTGATAGCTAGTTTTTGATACAAGGGTCTGGCATCCTCTGGAGCTACTGTAAAGTCCTGACCCTTCGCTAATCATAATGATTGGCTCTTTCTGAGAAATATATAGACCTTAAGGCTGTCTAAAATACAGAATTCCTAGCTTGAAGCTAACAATACTTATGCCTCCTACCGTAGTAAGGGACTCGAATCGAACTACCTTAGACAACCCCAATGGTAACAGTGGTAGCAGTCCATACTGGCCATAGGTCCTTCTGATTAATGTCACAGAATGGCACTGATCCAGTCTCCCCCTCAACAACGGAGCGGGCAAGCAAGGGGCACGCATACGGGTCACTCTCAGATACGCCAGAGCATAGCAGACAAAAGATACGCCTTGCACGCATACCGGAGATTGACACTGGGCTTCAGTTCGCGGAATGTGAAGAAGATGTAGAAGAAGAGTTGCTGCAGGCCAGCTTAGAACAATACCAGTGAGCACAGAGACATCAGGATCGCAGGTTTACTACTGAATCATTTAATGCGACAGACTCTACCTTCACCAGTTAGATACCGCAAAGTTGCACCTCGATACGCTTCTGAGCAATACTGCGGCTACGCTAGATCTTCTTTCTGAAGTCTCAACTTCTTTCAAGGCTGTCGAAACCCAGACCTCTGCATTTCAGAAACAATCCGCGGGTCTGCTTCAGGAGCAGGAGCAATACGAAGCAGCAGCCGATGGCATTAAGAGGAACCTGAAATACTATGAACCGCTTGATAGAATTACAAAACGGCTCAATGCCCCTGGAGCTGGTGCAATGGTTCGGAGCGAGGCTTTTTCGGAGATGCTAGTACAATTAGATCAATGTATTGATTATATGCAGACTCATCCACAGCAGAGGGAGGCAGAGACCTACCGCTCTCGATATCGACTTCTGCTCACGCGAGCTTTGACCTTGGTGCGGACTCGGTTTGTCGGTTCTGTCAGAGACACATCGGCCGAAGTTGCCAAAAGAATAGCGGACAAGCAGTTAAATGATACAACCATGTCTGCATTGCTATACGCCAAATTCAGGGTAGATGCCGCAGATATGAAAGAACTTGGCCTGGAGATTCAGAAAAGGGCTAACCCGCCAGCGGACGCGGAACCAGGTACCGAAGGGGAGTATCAAAGCTTGATGGACGAACTTCATACAACTTTCGCCGCTTCACGAGGGAGGCTGGTCTTACCTATAGTCCGCACAAGGCTAGCAGAGATCGCACAGGCACCTAGCACTTCAAAGGATCTAGTCGCATTTGCAAGGTCAAGTATCAGCTATGTTCGAGGTATTTGCTTGGACGAATTCGAGCTCTGGGGTGAATGGTTCCATGGCCAACGTGGATTGTACGACTTCCTCGAGTCCATTTGCGAGCCTCTTTATGATCACCTAAGGCCTCGCATAATACACGAGCTGAAGCTGCCTAAGCTTTGCCAACTCTGTACTCTCCTTCAAACACGCTACATGAATGACGGCGAAGACGAATATGAAACCCTCGATCTCAATGAGCTGGACTTTGCACAACTAATAGAAGCCGCTCTCGAGGATACCCAATCCCGCATCGTCTTTCGTGCTCAAGCCATCCTTCGTGACGAGATTGAGAACTTCAAGCCCAACCCCAGCGACCTCGACTACCCTAACCTACTCAAACTTACCAAGGTCCCCACATCGGGACGCAAAGATTCGCAAGCAAATTCGCAAGCAAATTCGCCCCGGTCTGAGTCGACTGATGGTTTGGACTTTACACAACAGCGCTGGCCGCTCTCCACCACCACTTCCGCTAACTTATCGACGCCGTATCCGACGCTCACCCGGGCCATCTCTCTGCTTTCCCTAATCTACCGCCTCCTCAATCCCACCATCTTTGATGACCTGGCCCACCGCGTCGTTCACGCGACAACCCTCTCCCTCATCCAGGCCTCCACCCTCCTACTCAAATCCAGAAAGAAACCGCAAACCCCTAGACCAGACAGCCCAGCCAACAATCCACCAGACCCAACAAGCAACGCTCATCTCTTCCTCCTCACGCAATTTCTCCTCCTAAAATCGCAAATCGTAGCCTTCGACATCGAATTCTCCCCCCAACCCGAAGTGACCTTCGACTTCTCCAACCTCACAAACACCTTCTACGAGCTCCAAGCCGAGCGCGGCGGGCTCTTCAATCCCTTGAACCTTGTCCGGCTGGTCGGTAAGGGACGGGACCTCCTCCCTAGAGTCGTGGAGAACATGCTCGATGCCAAGGTCGAGTTAGATGGGAGGTTGAGGAAAGTCATCTCGGACTTCACGGCGTGGGAAGCTAGAAAGATGATGGCCCCGCTTCGAAGAAGCGGCGGGGGGAAAGGGTGGGTGGTGAACGGGGACGAGGAGACAACGCGCAAGGCTGTAATTGAGATGAGGGGGGCTGTTGAGAAGGAGATTGAGCCGCTGAGACGGAGGCTGGAGGAGTGGATTCAGGATATCAGGACGAGAGAAACGTTGATCATCGCTGTTAGGGAGGCGGTTTTGCAAGGGTATGAGGAGTTTTTGGGCGCGGTGGAGAGTGGGCAAGGGGATGTCAAGGCCAAGACTAGGAGCAAGGGGAAGGGGAGGGAGGATGAGATTTGGGATGTCGATGCGTTCGCGGAGTGGACGGAAAGAGTTTTTGGGGTGACAGATCAGGCTGGTGATGATGTCGATACTGATGCTGATGAACAAAGTCGGAGTTTGTCCAGGGACGGGAGCGTGTGAGACGGCGGGAAGATCTTATGTAGCTGGTAGGATTATTGATCTCATCGTGGCCTCTACATCCGTCTGAATCGAGCCCAACTCTACATTAGAAGCTATCTCTGGATCCTTGTTCACAACTTCTTGCCATGGGATCTGCAAAATTGTACTCCTCAGACGAGACAGATACGCTTCGACTTACCATGAACATGTAACGAAACACTCCTGCTACAGGCCTACAGTTGTTGAGTTATCACAGCAGATGGTAACACCACCGCCACTACACCACTCCCAACAAGCTGAAACGGATGTTTTCACCAGCTGTACATGACGAGAAAGTATCCAAGGGAGAAAACAAAGTTGAGAGTGCTAGCCATTTTTTTTCCCTAACCCTGAAACTCCTCTCACTGCCCTTCCTGACCCAAACACAGCTATTCCACCCGCTTCTCTGCACAGAGCTGCATGTAAAGGTCAGTGTACAGCATCCTTCTGCATGCCTCTGGTAAGAATAGCCGCCTGCATGATGCGATCCCAATCATGCAGCATCAGGCTGTTTTCTAGCGAGGACTCGACAGCTTCTCTGCCTCGTTGCTGGACCTCTTCGTCGTACCTGTTGATGGCTGCTGTGATTTCCTGGTGGGAGGTTCGGTCGGTCAGGCCCTGGAGTTGTTGTACGAGCTGTGCGGCGTCGTCGATGGCGTTGTTGAGGCCTTGGCCACGGTCTGAGAGGCGGCTTAGTCGTTTTGGCTTAAGAGGGAGAAAGAAATGCAAGAAGCGCATTTGATGCGGAGGGATTTGTTACGTACGAAATGTCATTGGATGCGCAGCGTCCCCCGCAAGTGTTACTGTGCCGTTTCTGTTGTCCCATGGCTCCGTAGGCCAATACGAGAGCCTGTTGTGGGAGCAGACCGTATCATCGGGGATTGATAGTACAATCTGCTTGAAGGGGTGTGCGAATTGGGTAGCACGTTCCTTCATGTCAGATAGGATTGCTGCACCTTGGAGCTCTTTCGGGTCTCGATCTGAGACCCAGGACATTATGAACGTGTATACGCCATCGCCAGGCTTGGTGTCATTATATTTGGCGTGCACTAAAATATCAATTTCCTTTTAGAACCATTGTTGGTTGTGGTAGATCACTCACCACAGATCCAAAGGATGGTCCTGGCAGGGTGAATGGTAAGATTAAGCCGAGGATGCTTCTCTGCAAGCAATCGAGCGGATTCAACTGGAAGTTTTGCGAGGCACGTGCTAGCCAGCAGTGGCGACATCTGCAGTGCTGCTTTCTGTGGTCCGAGAAGGACCTGTCGAACCATGGATCGTGCCCCGTCGGCACCGATAATCAAGTTTGCCGTCTCTTTGGAACCGTCTTCAAACGTCGCTGTTGCAGAGTTCCTGTTGCTTTCGATCTCTCGGATCCGTTTGCTATACTGTACAGCGATTCAATCAAAATCAATCAGGCGCGGATTGTTGCAGTGGCGAGGTGCCTCACATGAATTTCTATTCCAGTTGTTAATAGCTTCTGAAGCTTGCTTCTCGGTAGACGAAGAGCGTATGGTGTAGGCATTGCGTTGATGAGATCTCCGCTCTCTCCATTAAAAATTGGTAAGACGTCGTCTGGGCCCGGGGGCAAGGAGTCCACTTGGATGTCCAGAAGCTGGTCAAAGAGCTCCTTCGGCAAGCAGCTCTGAATTCTGGACTTTTTAGGAGAACCACTTCAGCAACAGGAGGAGATAGGTCTTCGCGTTGATGTGATATACCTGTGCCCAATATATGCCAAAATTCCAGTCTCGTTGTCGAGCTCCAAAGGTAGCATCTTGTTCATAGACTTTGCAGGGTATGCCAATCTATCTATATCAGACGACGTACCGCAATGAAAGTTGATGGCCTGCCTTCCTCAATCCCTGGGCTATGAGCAATCCAGCAGAACCTAAAAGTTCTACCTTAGCAGGAATAACGTATGGGTTGGCTCAACTTGTACCAGCTCCAATTACCAGTACACAAAAGTCTTCCCTATTTTCAGCCATCCAAGCGTAAGAAACGGCCGTTTGAGCTCTGGTTTTGAACGAAAAGGGGCAAAGCTGAGCTTTTCAGATGTCGTATGTTGAAGAGGATGGATCTCTGGACCGCCCTTGAAGGCAGCTCTTATCTTTCCAGTCAGTCAATAAGATGCGACTTCAGGCGAAGAGAGCAGCAATCCGCTGCCTAACTTATTCAGTGCATAACTAGGAAAGGACATAGACGTGTGGACACGCTACCCTCCAGCTAGTGGAGAGTTTGCAGGGCTTTCGTTCAGAGTTTTTGCATCGCTTGCCGCCCGAGGCAGCTAACGTAGTCCGCAAACCAATGGAATGCATCCTCGTTTTTGGAACATGCAAGCCGAATCCAGCTCCAAGTTCTGGACTACGTTGCTGCAATATCAACGTTAAGATTCAAACGCGGAGACAATCGCCGTCGTGCGAACACAGATGTTATTTAGCGGTCCGACGGTGGAGCACAGACGTAGGCTATTTAAACGGGCAGAACTGACACTGAGGCCGCTGCATTTCGGGGTACATCCCCCAGTGACTCGCATGCAAAGCATGTTGCGAGTAGTGGAAGGAGTAAGCTCCTTGATATATATTCACACTGTGGGTTTGGAGTTCTCTTCTCTCAGTCTTCAAGTACTTAAGTAGTAAATACTCCGTACTCTGTACCTGAGTACTACGTACGGTTCCGGGTGCCAAGATTTACTCCAGCCGCCATCGGGCCCACGCTCAAGCAATCCGAGATTGAAAAGAACTTGAAGTGCTGCAACACCATTGCAGACTGTCACCAGCATGTGGGCTGCTCAATAGTTGTGGGTCTATGGCTGCCCAAAGACGGAGTCCACGCTCGAACGACCGGACGCATGCAAAGGTAGGACCAATGCTTCAGTGTGTCCTAGGTCGATTGTCTTCATTAGGCAACCAGACAATCCACATCAATCGACCCATGATGGTGGTCGTCAGGCCATGGGACTCCTCCCCAAAGCTCTCAAGGCCACTGCCGCTGGTACAGCCGCAACCACAGGAACATTTCTCTTCGTGACAAGGAAGTCAACCTCCGTGTCACTCTCACCAACCACAGATCCTGTGTTCCAATCATCGTTCTACAAGAAATTCAATCCAAACCAGAATCCGACCGCCCACAATCTGTGGCTAAGAAGAGTTCTAGTCTCTAAGTTCAAGCCATCACCTCGAGGAGAAGACAGCAAATCGGTTGAGGCATTCTGTGCAGACGTCTGGTCAGGCCTCGGGAGGCTCTTAACAGCAACTTTAAGCAGATTTGCATAACCATCAGTGTATACGTATTAACGTGGCTACTTGTTCAAGACAACTATAGTCAATCGATCGAACATCAGCTCTGGACGCCTTTCGATCTAAAAATATACGACTATCCTGTCGGAACGCAAATTCCTGACCATTTTGAGGTTCTGGAGCACACAACTACCAGTATCATCGTCCTTTGTGGGGACTCCGTTCTGAAGTAAGATGTAAGAGATTCAGATGGACTGTTCGAAATGTCAGCTGTAGTCAAAAAGGAGGAAGACAATGCAGAGTTTGGGCTGGAAAGTGTATCTACCAACGGCTGGGTATGGCGGAAGGGGCACCGATGCCAGCCTATATGGAATTCTTGCATAGGCAGTACACAAAGCTTCTGATGGAGACAGCAATCGAGAATGTAGTCGCCTGGTGATACTTGGGCCCCTTGCACAGTATCGTTCGTGCAACCACTGCGGGAGAGGATGGTAAGCAACGTGTATATACGATACTTGTGAGAAATGCTTCTTCTAGGAATGGCGGCTATCTATGCACCGGAGAACATCGTGCTCGTCATGATTACTGGCATGAGCTATACTTCAGAACTCGAATCCATACGTGAATGAGTGAACAGGTTTGCGTAATCTGTCCATACCGATAATCTCAAAAGGGTGGTTTTCTTCGAGTAACTAGTAAGTATGTGTGGTATTGCTCCGCTGGCAAAGCTTCTGCAGCGGAAGGCAATTCCGCCATTGTGTACAACAGTCCACATGTGTGTCTCACACATGAGCGGCTCGGATGATAGCAGAGTTGATTTGGGTCAATGTAGATTTGCAAAGCTCTAGGGAGTCCTTCCCTTTAGGATCTCGTTTCAGTGTTTCAGTGCCGACGCGGTTGCCAGCCTCAGCAGTCAAGATGAACAATCATGCGTCAACCACATCACCACCTCCACCTCCACCTCCACCTCCACCACCACCTTCAAAGAACTCCGCTGCGCCTATGCCTGACCGTACGAGCTTGTCAGGTTCAAGATCACCTCACTCTCGCAACCCCTCTCTTCACCTAGCCCACATGCCCAGTCCAGCTTCACAACATCGTCAGAGCTTCACGGAGAGTTTACGCGGTCTACCACCCAGTCCAAGAGCTCAAAGACAACCATCATTATCGCAGCTAGCAATCCAGGACTTGATAGACAATCCCCCTGCGAGAAATGATCCCGCTTTTGCTGGTAGAGATTGGAGAACTGTCACCGTCGCTGAGCTTGTTAGTCCAGAAGACGTGAAGTTTGCCGAAGTCAATACGGGAGTGGAGGCTGCGACAAATGTAGGCAGATCATGTCCCCACCAAACCATCCTACTGATGAGTCACTCCTACAGCTACTTATCGACTCTGGAGCCCCTGTTCTTCTTATTCGCGAGAGTCCATCATCTCGATCCGTCACCGGCACGTTTGACTACGCCGACCTCAATGCATATCTTCTTCTGGTGGTCGGCTTAGCCCAGCCAGACGAAGGACATATTGAAGACTTCAGAGAGCTAGCAAGAAAAGCACGGACAGGAGCAGTGATCCCATTGAAGGATGTCAAAAACCTTGGAAGAAAAGAACCTTTGGCCAAGCTGCCAAACACCGCAAGCTTGATCCAAGCTATCGAGACCTTTGGGAGCGGTGTACACCGAGTAATTGTGGTCGAGCAGCACACAGATGAGGTTGTGGGAATTCTCAGTCAGAGTCAGGTGGTCAAATTTCTCTGGGAGAACGGGAGAAGCTTCCCCGTGATCGACCAATTATATCCTCAATATCTTAGAGACTTGAAAATTGGTTCTCACCAGGTGGTCTCCATCAAGTGAGGTCATTTATCCCAACGAAAAGGAATCAGCTGACTAATTCTCTATAGTGGCGACAAGCCCTTGACCGAGGCTCTGACACTCCTCATGGACGAAGGAGTTTCATCGCTTGCCGTGCTCGACAATGCTCGTAATGTTATCGGCAATATCTCTACGGTCGATGTGAAGCTTCTGACGAAGTCATCCTCCCTGCCCCTGCTTCGCAATACTTGCATACACTTCATCAGCGTGATTCTTTCTACCAGAGGCATGCAAGATGGCAAGGACTCATACCCAGTCTTCTATGTCACACAGCTCAGTACACTGGCTCACACCGTCGCTAAGCTAGTGGCTACGAAGAGTCATCGATTGTGGATCACAGAGCCTGCCTCACCATCCTCCTCCGGTCCCACCACACCCCTCACACATACAGCCACCATGGTGCCCACTTCATCCCACAGTTCTTCCATCTCTCCATCAACACAGGCGAGCCTAATCGCACCTTCGCCGCCACCCAGCTCCCATGGCGTATCCTCCAACTCCGCCTCACCTTTCATTGCACCGAGCGGACCATCCATATCAGCCAGCGCCATGCCGGGCGCAAGCATCAGTGGGCATCTGGTGGGAGTAATCAGTCTCACAGATATTCTCAATTTGTTCGCAAGAGCAAGCGGGCTTCATCCAACAGATCCCAATGAAATCCGGAAAGGCAGAAGACGCTCAAGCAGCAGTAGCGTGCGAAAGAGTGGAGAGCTTGGAATCAGACCTAGAGGCTCTGTTGACAGCAGCAGAGGGCCTGCTGTAGGGTGAAGAGCAACAGATTCCCAATTTATGGGGCGATACGGGATGACGATTTCCATTTTGTTAAGACACTTCAAACTGCAAAGCATTTGATGGAACGCAGCACGTCTCTCAATGGAGTCACATCAAACGTAGCAAATCGAGTTGATTATATGCCCATTACCCACCGTTAGATGTACTCCATATGATGCATGGTACTAGCTAAGTACTACTTAGTCAATTATAAGTCCGTTTGTGATTAGATATGAGATCCAAGTCCGGCATGAAATTCCCCTTTGGTTTAATTGGATTATCACACATGGAAGTCGATAAGTGGGAGGCCCCTTCAAGGCGATAATGGACTATTTATCTCTTCTGAATATTGACAGACCAGTCCACACCTTGGACACAGCGCGCGCATCTTTTTGACTACTGAGTCACAAAATCTACATATCATTTCTTCGCTTGTTGTCCGACTTATACTCTTTAACTAACGATATACAACCAGATTCGCTGTCTCAATCCGTTTCCCACGATGTGCCCAACTACGAGTATCAGAGGCTGCCATGCGAAAGATGCTTTCGCCTTCTAAAAGTCAAGGTGTAAGCTGGGGATCATCGAGTGCACGCTTGATTATTTTTAGGCTAGATGAGTGCCCCGGCTATTGCGCGTTGTCCTGTACGTGGGGTTAGGCGGAGCATGAGTGGGCCCAAGACAAGTTGGCTGAAGATGTAGAAGAACTGATCAAGCTCCAGAGTGGACAGGCAATGAAGATGAATCTACAGGCCAGCCTGAAATAGCTCAGGACGACTTGGAATCTGATAATGAGACAGCTAGCAAAGAACTAGGAGATAAAGATGCAGGGCTTGAGGGGATAGAAGCAGAGGAAACCCAGCCGCAGGGAAAGGCTGGTGGGCACTGAGGATGTCAGCGATAGGTCAGGAGATGATGGGAGTGGGCCAGGAGAAGGTCGGCGAGACAGTTTTCGTCTAATCATTGTCAATGACATGAAACTGAGGGTGACGCCAAATCTCTACGATTCACTGTGCTTCATCCGGAGATCAAAGCTTTCTCAACACCACTTCTGGATCGACGCAATCTGTATCGACCAGCAACATCTGGACGAACGCAGTGCACAGGTTATGTTGATGGGCGGCATCTACGAACGTGCAGACAAGGTTGTTATATGGTTAGGCAAGGAAAATGCCCATGCGGGAAGGGTACTCCGTATGGTTTTGCGGTTGGCGCACTCGTGGACAGAACTTCAAGCTGAGTTTGGCCTTCCCAGGAATGCAAATGCTGAGGCTTTCCGACCTTTCAGAGACCCGTACGGGTACGGAAATCCAGTGGTATTCCGTCGCCTAGGTCTCGAGGATACCACACAACCTGACTGGCTTGGTCTCTTCCTTTTCCTGCAGCGCCGATGGTTTCAGCGTCAGTGGATTTTGCAGGAGGTTGTTCTTTCACGTCAAGTTGAGATGTTCTGGGGTCCTTACTGGATCCAGTTCGAGCACATAGTCAAGTGTGCCAACCTTCTGCAGGCAACCTCAATGGCAGTGGGCCTGCCTCAACTGGCGGCCCCGCTAGGTTTTAAGTGTTGGGGGGATCATGGCAGTGCCCGTGGCCTTCTCAATCCAAAGCATTTGGTCCCTGATTTATGAGCCGATCGATGTTTGGCTCGACACCGATCTCCAAGCTTATTCGTCCGTGATGCATGGTGTGTTCGATCTTCACGGCAATCCCGCGATTCTGCTCGATCTATTTATCTTTAACGCTACTGCACACACTTCAACGGACCCAAGAGACAAAATATATGGCTTATTAGGTATGGTCCAGAAGGTGAACAGCTTTTATGTGCTTCAGCAAGACATGCTGAAGGTCGACTACCGCAAGGGCACTGTGGACGTATACTGCGATTTTGTTCGAGCTATCATGCAAAGTACGAAGACTCCACAATACATTACGAAGGTTTGGGGCAGAGAGTGCGTTAAATCAGACGTCCACAACTTGCCCTCTTGGATGTCTGACTTCAGCATTCCGCAGATCACTACGTGGGCGGTAGATGTGATGGTGAACACAAAGACAAGCTTCAGTGCTTCAAAGGTCTCTCCGACCCCAACTCTAACATTCACTGCTGACGGCCATTTGCTTCGACTCCATTGTGTCACATTTAGCGAGATTGTTCAATTTGGGGAGTACATCGATGACAATTTCTATACTGATCGCTTTGAAGAAAGCGTCTTGCATCTCATGCTGGAGACGCCTGGACCATACTCAACAGGACAGAATGTGGTTGAGGTATTGTGGAGAACCTTGAATATGCGATTATGATTTGGAACAGCATCCAGCGCGGGACAGCCTATCTCTGTCTTTTCGAAGCTGGTTGATGCTTGAAGCGATGAGGGCTGTTGGTACAAGTCTCCAAGCCGGTGGCACAAGGAGTCAACATCTACTGTCGATGCCCAGCTTTGATCTTCTGGCCCGGCAATACCCTACTTCCCTCGTCCCAACACACGCCGAAATTTGGCGGGAATGTGACAAGGCGGGGCTTTTTTAAGGACCATCTCGACGCTGAAATGTATCAGGGCTATCCATTGACATTAGCGGAAAGAGCGTATTCCTACATGACACTTGTTCAACTACGAATGAAAAAAAGCCGCTTGTTTCGCCTTGCTTCTGGACATGTTGGGATTGGACCAAAGAACATTCGTGAAGGAGATGCTGTCTGTGTTGTCTCCGGTGTCACCACACCTGTTGTACTCCGACGAATACAGCACGACCAGCCCAATCGATGTCATCTTCTTGGAGAGGCATATGTTCACGGTATTATGCATGGTAAGCAGCGGATAAGATGGATATTGCTTGGACGGAGTATCGTATTGAGTAGATATTTATTGCCTTGGATGACAACTCTGGTGATGCACCTGACTCACTTTGATTGAATGTCCTCGAGCAACAATGATAACGCAATAGTCACGCCCATGTATTGCGGTAGGAGGCATAAGTATTGTGGGCGTGGATTAGTGGTAGCTAGTTTTCGATACAAGGGCCCGGCGTCCTCCAAAGCGCCAGTAAGTCTTGAACCCCCGGTGATGATAATGAATGGGCACTGACCGAGGAGCCAAACAGACTAGTACTCTTTTAGTAGTATTTATGCCTCCTACGGAGTACCGGAGTAGTGAGGACATATACACCGTCTGCTGACTGTGAGGACTGGAGAAGCCTCGGCTAAATGATCGTAGGGCCAAAATGTGGCTGCAAGTTATGTGGCTAAATAACTGATAACAGTCGCCCTCAGATCTTATCGTCCTTGAGTCACCCAAAAAGTTCAACTTCCATAGAGCGCATTGCTACAGCATGGCTAGCCGGCCAATGTAGATTCTGCCTATAGTACATTCAGGTAGATATTCTATGCTGCACTTCTCCGAAGGCATGGGATTGTGCAAAGATGCCAAATCCTCGTGTTGTACGGGTCAATGCAACCAACAAGCCATCAAGCTCTTTATGAAAGAAGAAGAGAGTTTCTGATTGTAACCAATGATTGTCCCATCCGGCAGAGTAGCAGGTGCAACAGGATTGGGTAGTCCGGTATGTCGAAGCTACATCCTTATGCCGCACAGCCATCGAGTTGCGTTTCATGTTTCGTGTCATGCTTTCCAGGTACGGAACCATCTTCATGCGATCGGTCTCCGATGGGGCCAATGAGTCTTGGTTGACCAAAAGGGCCATTCGCCGAGGTTGATATCGATCATGCCGTCTCTGAAGCATCTGTCATGCCGACTCTTTGGCATGGAATTGTTCAAATACGGGATGGTAGCCTGGGTGAGTGTGCCCCAGACAGTTGATCCACAAAGGTCGGTCGCCATCCTGCTCAACGGTTTCCTCCTGTTTGTGATCTTATCTCCCACAGTATTCTTCATGTGTCATGGCCTCTCTTCTTCCTCCATTGGCGGTGCCCAAGCGAAACCCTCGCCGGTTGGCTCATGGAGGTCTTGGTGGCTGTGTGCAGACTGGACAACAAGATAGGTTTTATGAAACATATAACAGGAAAATGAGCCTGTCGAGACGCCCGCTGCGAGGGAAGAAGGCACCGCTTGCAGTAAACATTAATGTGGAAAATCGAGACATTGCTCTGAGCACAATGACACCTACTTCCGTAGTGCTGCACGATGATTCGAGTTATGGAGAGTTCGGCAACCCTTTTGCGGACCAGATGAAAGCACCGCCTTCGGATGAGAAGAGTGTGGAACTCGTATCACCCATTGAGCAACATGAATCGGGTAGACATTCACCTGTGTTTGTCAATCGACCTCAAACACCGCCAACACCAGAACAAACAGCCACTTTGCCGGTTGAACTCCCCGGTTCGATTTTACTTCCAAGTCAAGGCTTCCCTCAGACAAATCCTCCAATCGCTCCAGCAAGAGATAATTTTAAGACTTTTGCCTCTGACGACGAATCTAGACGCAGCTCCACACCTAGTCTAGACTATTCATCATCAACGACTGATAGCGATATGGACATGCTCAAGAACCTCACCTCTCCTTCGAAAAGGTCAGGCAGAGCGAACACATTTCCTGCCCCGCAAGTGATAAAGGCCAGTAAGCCTATACCAGCAATGAGCGCAGACGAACTGATGAGATGTTTACCGGAACTGAATATGTCTATCATAACTCATAGCTGGGTTCCGGCAATGGAGAATGAGCTTAAGCGGATCAAAGCGTTATTGCAGGAAGCCGCCGAGGTACAAGTCCAGAATCAAGCAGATTTGGGCAATTTTGGAAGTGTGAGTTTGGATCCGTGTAGAAGTATTTCGTGGACCAACTTATTTCAGGATGTCAATTCGATCGCTGTGTCGGCTCGGAACATATCACGAACCTATTTCGATGCAATACAAAGAGTCAGACCGTTGGCTGACCGAGATGCGAAAGCCATCACCGACCAACTCGAAGCTGCTCAAGCAGAGCTACGCGTGGCTCTAGCTGTGGTCGAAGAGAAGAAGAACATCATTTCAGACAACGAAAACCTCATCCAAGCACTCCGCGAAACAATTGCGGCAAATGCTCGAACCCTTGGTGGCTTCATCCAAGATCACGTTGGCAGTCGCCTCAACAACATTCGCGACATACGTACCGAAGAGGTCAAACAGCTTCTTGAAGATTATCAACAGACTTCCTCTGGAAGTGAAGCGCACACACCATGTCATTACGTCCGGATTCCTGAGCAGCAGTACAACTCACACCTTCGAACCCTTCACGATGCGCAGCAAAAAGTTGAGACCTACAGCACGATTGCACATGATCAACTTGAGCTCATCAAGTCCCAGTCTGCTGACCTTGATAAACGCATAGAGGGGTACGGAGAATGTTTGGCCATGCTTGAAAAACGTGACAGTCGAATCGTTGAGCTCGAGTCGAAAATCGGGGCAATCGAAAAAGAACTCAAAGAAGCCAAGGAGACAGTCGAGGCTTACTGCATTCTCAAACAAGAGCACGAAAACCTTGGTCAGCACTGTAAAGACCTTGGTTGGACTCTCCAAAGCATCAAGGATGGATGTCAGAAACAAATGGAGGACCGTGATACCGAAATCTTCACTTTGCGACAACAACTAGGCGATGCTGTGATGGAAATAGCAGCACACAAGACAGAGGCGAAGGCGGCAATCCCGCAGCCGGAGTCTGCCAGCCTTGCTTCACGATTCAGAAATCCTCTCCACCTTGGGAGGCACGCCACAGCACAAGATCGAAACCTGCCCATCAATGCACGTAGGGCACGATCAAGCGGCAAAGTCCCCGCAAGCCAAAGCATGCTCTCTCTCAACACCTCGGAAGCAAACCTAATACCAGCAAAATTTTCCATCCATCGGAGCCAGAACACACCCAGCCCAGTCTCTGACACCACAAGACAATCAGCCGAATCCCCCAGCGATCAAGGTAGCAGTAGCGGCAACCGCAGGTGGCTGAGCGGTTTAAGGCTTCACCCGCCCAACACCGCTCCTTTGACCCCTAGCAGCAATGTCCCAGAGCTTCGCCCAAGAAAGGGGTATCTTTCCACCAAGAGAAACCCATCACGGACAACGGGAGTCGTTGTAGGAGAAGGAGCAAGACCATCGAGCGTGCTTGTGGACTGCGAGAAAGCGCTACCCTGCCCTCCCGTCTGCGAATCACAAGACTTTCAGCTTCACCACGAGAACAAGAACCAGGACGAGGAGGAAGATGGAAGCAAGATGGAGAAAGAAAGCGACACTCCTCACTCTCCCTCAGCCGCCGTCCCGCTTCACAGAAGCCCCCTAACAGTTAGTCCACTGAAACTGAGCCCAGTCAACCGCCGCGTCCTCAGCGGCATCACCGAGAGATCCGTCGAAGACGCAACTTCTCCTGATAGTACCACCAGCAGCGACAAAAATATTTTTCGTAGTAGTATCGCCATGCTGGATAAGTTCGATGAGATGGATGGAGATGAGCCGAACACGCCGTCGAGTGCGAGTCAAGCTGGAGTGTTTGACTATGCGCGAAGAAGTGGTGACGAGATGAGCAGTCCCGTCCGGTCAACCAGGGATGTGAGGGAAGCGTATGCGCATACTTTGAGGAGGGTGGGCAGGGCGAGGAGGGGGAGAGCAGGCGGGAGGGGGAGCAGGGGATGAACATGAAGAGTATCTAAGCTACCGTGACTGCGGCTATTTGGATGGTGCTGGTCAGTGCTTGGTGGCTTGGTCCAGGTGAGTTTTCGTCACTCTGTCGATCGGGATGAACCTGTCTCCATTCTCTTCTATTACCTTTCTTGCGAAGATACCCCCAAAGCTACTATCACTATGGGTAGTAGCAGAGGTCAGGACGTTGGGTTGCGCTATGAGCTCTTGAGTTCCGCAGCCGTGGAGGATGATGATGACGACGACGATGAGCTCGCTCTCTCTTCCCCCCAGATTACTAATTTAACTAATGATCCAAGACTTCCAAAGACTCGCTGTCTCCACCCATCCCCTCTCCCTCCCTCCCTCTCTTTTTCCCTTTCCCGCCTGCTCTTCTCTTCTCTCCTCTCCTCTCCTCTCATCCCATCCCGTCTCCCAACCCCAGCCCACCATCTCACAGCCAAGATCGACCAGACCAGACCAGACCTGCTAAGCTCCTCACCGCCTCCCTTTCCTTCTCAGAGTCAGAATCAGAGAGAGACAGAAAGAGAAAGAGAAAGAGAAAGAGAAAGAGAAAGAGAAAGAGAAAGAGAAAGAGAAAGAGAAAGAGAAAGAGAAAGAGAAAGAGAAAGAGAAAGAGAAAGAGAAAGAGAAAGAGAAAGAGAAAGAGAAAGAGAAAGAGAAAGAGAAAGAGAAAGAGAAAGAGAAAGAGAAAGAGAAAGAGAAAGAGAAAGAGAAAGAGAAAGAGAAAGAGAAAGAGAAAGAGAAAGAGAAAGAGAAAGAGAAAGAGAAAGAGAAAGAGAAAGAGAAAGAGAAAGAGAAAGAGAAAGAGAAAGAGAAAGAGAAAGAGAAAGAGAAAGAGAAAGAGAAAGAGAAAGAGAAAGAGAAAGAGAAAGAGAAAGAGAAAGAGAAAGAGAAAGAGAAAGAGAAAGAGAAAGAGAAAGAGAAAGAGAAAGAGAAAGAGAAAGAGAAAGAGAAAGAGAAAGAGAAAGAGAAAGAGAAAGAGAACGAGCAAGCTCAAGCTGTACGGATATGCGTAAGCATATACAGATCAAAAACAGGCATAAAGTAGAGTCGAGTCGAGTTTCCTGACGACCGGTGTGGGTATGCCTTGCAATCGCATAAGCATCAACATCAACTTGACCTGGTTTGATTTGACTAGACCCGACATGCGTACTCACGACCTGTAGTAGTTAAGAGATAAGGACTAAAACAATACTAATATTCCAACTCCGACTCAGACTCGTCCTAACTAGTGCGAACAAGGGGGTATCCAAACTCAAGAAGGAAACAAGAAGCAAAATGGCAAACAGATTTAAAAAGACGTGCGCAACCCCTGCCCGAATGCAGCACCCATAACTCAACCCGAGACATTATCCGCTCATGATAAAACGTTCGAATCTCCTCTTCTCTCCTCTTTCCCACGCCGTCTCTTCCGCCTCCTGAACATTCACCCGGCTCCTCCACACATCGCGATGGGGAAAAAACAAGATGCCAAAAGACCTCAACACCACGACCCTTGCATATCCTGCTCATCCTGACCATCCAAACCTCCCCAAATTACGTCTCTCCGGCTAAATTCCTCAAATGCTCCTCTATCTCGTGCGGCTGTTCGAAGATCTTCCACACCTGCCGCGGCACCCCCTCAAACGCCCTGTCAAACCTAGCCTGTTCGTTCTTCTTCTCCATATTGCTCACATCCGTCACCTTCCGGATGTAGATGGCCCTGATCCACCCCTTGGGGTATTTGCGATACATCTCGGCATACGACTCGGGATCGGACTGGGTGGAGTCGCCGACACAGATGAATTTGCGCTTGGGAAGCCAGCGGTGGATTTTTTCGAGCCGGTCGACTTTGTAGGCCTGGGTGCCCTGGGTGAGGCTCTGTAGGAGGCCGCCGAGGAACATCCACGAGTTGTCGCGCAGGATGAGTTGGCCGGGTTGGTAGTGCGTGCGGATGAATTCGTGGAGGAAGGGGTAGAGGTTGTAGGGGGAGGCGGAGAGGTAGAACCACACGGGGTTGTTGAATTGGTCGTGGACTACCTTGTAGAGGTCGGCCATGCCGGCGATGGGTTGCGGTTCATCGGCGAAGGTCGTTTTCAGGATGCCGATGGGGTTGGTGGTTTGGGTTACTTTGATGGTATCGTCGACGTCGGAAATTATCCCCCATCCTTCTGGAGCAGCGTAGTGGATGTGGGCTTTTGCCTCGGGGAATGCTGGAGCTGTGAAGACGACGTTGGTGCCGTCGGATTCGTCGTTGCCGCCGGTGAGCTCTGTTTGAGAGGTTATGCCGCTGGCGTTGGAGGGGCCTAGCATCTTCCTTATTGGCGCGCCGGTCGTTTGCGGGATGGCGATTTCGACAGATTTGGCAGGTGCGATCTCGTCGATGAATGGTTGGATGCGCTCTGCGATTCTTGCCTTGGCTTCTTCATTTGAGCCGACGTCGCCATCCAATCCGATTGTATCTGCGATGGTGCTGACAACATCCCCAACATCTTTCCGTCCCTTGTAGAAGATGGCGGCAACAACCTCGGCCTGCCATGGTTGCGGACTGTGCGGGTAGGGGTGAACAGGCCGGTAGGCGATAGTGTCGAGGAGGGTGACTATATTCTTGTCGGGAGTTGCTGGCTTGTAGAAGGGATTTCGACGGCCTAGACGACCGGTGAGTTTGTCGAGGAAGCCCATCTCGGAGACAGCCCAGCGTTTTGGTAGCACTTTCTCAATGTCGTCAAAGCCCGCCATTTTACGCGACTCGGCTTCAAGAGAAGTCTCTTGGATCTTCTGTTGAGCATGATCGGCGACTGGTGACTTGCCTTTCGCCATGTTTGGGGGGGGCAGGAGGATACGTGATAGGCTAGGAAATAGGACTTGTGATTGTAGAACGTGATGTTGATAGGCAGACGAACTGATCATGCAACGAAGAAGAATGTGCTGTGAATGACGGTGCGATGGAGAGACAGCGAGAAGTGAGAAGGAAGAGGCAAGACGAGGCAGAATCAACATGACATTATGAGACAGGTGATGAGAAGGCGCCTCATCATGGGACCTGGACATGGACCTGACCGGGGCCTGACCTGGGCCTGGAACCGGGACCTGGAACCGAAAGAGGCAGAAAACAACCCAGTTAGTCACGCATTCATATCGAGTAGTACAGTCGTCAGCTGAGGGGAGAAGGAGAATGGGGAACGGGGAGGAGAGTCGACGTGCGGCGTGGCTGAGAGCTAGAGTGTGAGTGGTGGAAGCCAGCTTCAAGTTCAGTGGAGCCCATCTCTATGCTGCCTTGGTCATCTCAGCGAGCCTGTGTCCGTCCGGGTCATCCAGACGTCATGTTCCCAGAATTCCGGAACGCAGAGCCGGTCAGATGTTAGAACGTACAGTACTAGGTCAAAAGTCTCCGTTCAACCCCACTTTTGCATCAAAAGACATACTTTTCAACTCAAACTAACTATTTTTCCTAGGTAATAAACTATTTAAAAAATATTATTAGGTTGTTCTAAAATAGTAAAAAATAAATTATATATAAAAACTTTTTATCTGGATACCATATAGAAGAGAGAGATAGGAGATAAAGTAGATCCAAAAATTTTAGAGAAATTTTTTGGTGGGGTTGTCATACAAATTTTATTAAAAATAAAATATAATAACTTGATCATTAACTAACTCTTGACTAAGTAGATTAATAATTAAATAATATATAAGAAAAAGTTTTATCTATCAAATTTCTACCTAGATATAAAATTTCAAGTAGTCATGAGCTGTTTTGGTCAAGAAATAGATATTTCAAAGAAACCACTTTACGCGTAAAACACGAGATCAACGGAGACTTTTGACCGGGTACTGTATGGATCAATGATGTGCTGGATCCGGGTGGATGCAGCATCGTTGTGTTGTGCAACTTTCGTGGCGACCCGATGCAAGATTCATGCACCACACCCCAAGAATGCGATTAAGGTGCAAAGTTTTACCTCTGCAAGGCGCAGAGCCTCTAACTTAGGCCAATCCTCCCACGCAATTAGGCCCGGAGGCTCTCCACCCCCGGATAATAAATATTGACTACTGACTAGTAGTTGTTTAGTGATGGCGCCTGCAAGCAGAGTTTCGGCTCAGGCTTGCCTCAAGGCTGCCACCTCCGCTCTCCCTCCCAGCGAGCTGCCTCAGAGCCCAGACCTGGCCCGTTCAGGCGTTTGGAAGTGTTTAAGGAATCTTTTTCATTCGCCACCAAGTCATAGCAGGAGATGGACCTGCATTATCTTTTAACGGGCAGCTGAAGAGGTGGTTAGTATTCCCACGATTTAGTTCAATAATTTTGGCGGTAGACTTCAAGTTGGCAAAAGAATTGCAGACTTGACAGGAAAACACCGAATTTTCCAAATTTTGATGTTCTTCTTACCAAGACTGCAGCAGAATTATAACGTTTCTTAAGAGAAAAGTCAGCCGGTTTAGTTACACATGGGATATAATAATTTTAGTCGATATAAGAATGGGCTATACAGCCAAGAAGCTCACTTCTCTCACCACAAATATCCAATTTCATCTCTCCAGAGCTCCATGTCTGGCCTATTCAGGCAAAATCTACTGTACTTCACTCAAGACCGAATATTTCATGACAGAATATTAGGAAATGCACCTCTCAACTATAATGTGAATCTGGACACTGGATTTGTTGAAATACCATAATACCATAATACCATGAATGCGGCTGAAGCTGGAAAATCACGGGAGCGAAGCTGATATGCACGCGGCTCGACTTCTTTTCCCCGCTTCCACCTGACGCATACAATGATATCCTCACAGTTGAGAGATCCATCTGGGATGCCGTTGCGCTCGAGAGACGTGGGCAGTCGATCTTCGATTCGATCCCGTCGCCGATATTTAAGATCATCTTCGTCGGATGACAATGACCAATATGCAGCCTTGTACGCTCATCCACACAGACATCGCCGCTCTCGGTCCCGAACTCAGAGTCCCATCAGAGGCCATCAGGGCAGATTCAATAGCCGCGTGTCTCGACCCGACTTCAAAAAAGACATTCTCACGATATGCCGAAGAGGTGAGATTCCTATGCTGGACAAGATGTTCTATGATGCTAGCCTGGTCCCCGCCCGGCCGGATGAACTACCCACTACCGATGAGATGGTGCTCGAGGCTTTAGATGCCCCCAGCACTGGCATGCTCTCCACCATCGTCAGGCGAGACCCTACGTATAAGTGGAGCGACCTGGCCATCATCAAAGCTATTGAGAAGGACAAAGCCTATGACCCACCGCTATATCTGGATGCTTTCCTCTATCTTGGACTCAGCCCCTACACCGCGTGGGATAAAGATGTTGAGCATCATGATGCCTTGATGTGGGCCATCAGAAGTGGTAGCGCTGAGTTTGTTGCTATGCTGCTCTGTGCTGGAGCTGACCCTAACGGAGGCAAGGTAGGCGTAGCAATTTTCTTGGCAATAAGACTGATATTGACGGTACTGATGCCCTATTCTATGTAGTTTAGAAAGGTCTTTTCACATATCGCCGTCGCCACAGGGATCTGGCAGATCGCTCGACGACCACAGTTTGCTATCGCCTACAACCTCATCAAGCACGGAGCCAACCCGAACGGGACTGGCGCACTGCAGTGGGCGGTAGGCATGCTCGCTTTTGAGAAGATCAAAGAAGGACGAGTGCCATGGGAAGCTAACAAGATTGCTCAAATGCTGATTGAACAAGGTCATGCTGACATCAACGAGACCCCGCGGAAGAATCCTGAGTATCCTACTCTTCGCCATGCTCTAGGTGAAGCAACTTTCTACGAGAATGTTGAATTTATAGAGTATCTCCTGGATCATGGAGCCGATCCGTCCATTCGACCAGAGAAAGACGGTCTAACTGCCTGGGAGATCGCCGTCTCAGAAGATGGTCTCCCTAGCGTGATTGATGCTCTTGTTGGCAGAGGCGTTTCACCGGCTACGCTCTGGGGCATTCTTAGGCCTTGACATAGACATGATGCTATCCAGCATAGTGCTTTTAGTTCCTCCAGAAACGAAACAGCCTCGATGCAGTTCCGTATTCCAGCACTACCCGGCTTGACGACTCGAAATTTGCCAAAGTCAGAGACCTTGTTCGCATTGAGTGGTCTGTCAGAAAAGCTCACTGTCTGTGAATGCTCAAGTCACACCAAAACCTGTCGCCCGCGAGTTGTCTTGAAGAGGTCTATATTTGCCTTGTATTCTGGAGCAGCACTTGGCTATCACGTTGTTACTCAACGGCTAGCTTCAGAGGCACATGGTTAGACGCTCTCGAGCATCTGAACGAAATACCTGCACGTTGCGATCAGGCCGCTTGCCCGCCTTGTCTTGGCAATCTCAAGCCGGAAACACACCCGGAAGGGACTGGAGCGACCGAAAATGCCTCAGTGACGAGTCTGTGGGACCTCCAGACCCCAAACTGGGGTGATACCGTGGTGAAACATGAATGCCGGCCATCATCAAACACTTGCGACGGCACGGATACAACCGTGCCCAAGTGTCAGGATTAATAAGTTTGGTAGAAAGATGAGGAGACAGCATAGCAGTATAAAGAGGGTCAATGGTTTTTCCTCTCCCTATAAAGCAATATTCATTGCCGGTTTTCCTTCAGAATGTCTGGGCGCAGCCGTCCTGCTGGGGTGGGTGGTAGCACCGACCGTGGCAGGGAACACGAGGCTGGACCCAGTGCTGAGTCTGCTACTGATCTCACTGCTGAGTCTGTTGCTGGATCTACCGCTGGATCTACAAAGGAAGAAGGTATGTCGAATGGTTGATCCATGTCCCTTGACACCCGCCAAAGATGTTCCGTGTCCGCTGACGGATTAACTCACAAGTCGATCTCATACATCTGGTAGCCTCCAACCAGGCCAATATAGATCAGCAAAAGTTATTCAAGTACAAAGTTGAGAATGACATGGCATTTCACGCTGCTGTTTTGCATCAGATGAAGGAATATGAAGAGAAGGGAGCCTCCCGAAAGCGAAGGTATTTAAACACAGCATTAGACAAATGTGATAGAGCCAAAAGAAGAGCGACAGATCCGCGGAAGTCTCGCGCTGAATTTGAGAAATTGAGAGATGAATTCGACCGCCTTTCTACCAGACCTCAACTTATGCGGAATCAACTTGAAAAGGATCGTATAGACGCTTATCGAATTGGTTTGATTGGCCAGGTGGCCAGTAATACAGGCACGGCAGAACAAATGAAGTCTTTTGAGAAGCTACTCCGTGAAACAGAGTTTCACGAGCTGGCCAGAAAACAGCTAGAGGAGTTGGTCGAACATCAGGCCATTGAGAAAGCGGATCGGTTGTATCTTGCTTTGGCACGTGTTCTTGTGGAACAGAAGCCCCTACCTCCTCAAGGCCCTGTTCTCCTGAGAGGGGATGTACCAGGTGCTGGAAGAAGTTCGACATCTCAATCCCCTTCTCCCGAAGAGGTCGAACGCGATAGAAGTTGGCACTCAGTAGCCACAGGCACAGCCACATCGAATGAAATTCGGGCGTTTCGACACAATTTACTTACCAGCTCTGAGTTCGTGGAGGCCGTCTTCCTTGCCCGCGAAACATGTGCATCGAGGGCGCCCTCGGAGTTCGAGGTGAACCTGATGTTACGATTGGATCAGCAAAAGCAGGCTGCTGGGGAACTCATTGATGCAATTCAAATGGAGGCTGTTAGCAAGGTTGGAGGAAACCCTGATATACGACAAGCAGTATCCCCCGAAGAGATAACGTCTGGGAGAAGGGATCGAGATCCAACTGGTCCAAGCAGAGGAGGTTCTCTAATACAAGCCCGCGAACTTCTCGCTCACGCACTCCCCCCTGGTTGGGCAATGACCTTCATAGAAATGATAGCCAACCGGCGAAGTAGCGTCGAGATGGAGCGGTTATTCCACCATAAATTCAGGACCGAGAGGAACTTTCAACAACTAGTCTTGGCATATGACAAGAGATATCGCTCCACAACGTTGACGGCGGGGTATGAGAAAGCGGTGGCGTTGAGAGTTGTGGGGACAATGGGTTCTACGGAGCTATTGGATTTGTTCGGTGATAACGGCAGCGATCGTCGTCGTCTGGTGCTGCTCGAGCAGCTTCTGAGGGTCAGACCGCCGAGAAGTAGGAATATCATAACGGTAACTATGCCGCCTCGACCAGATGGTAGCCCGTGGATAGTAAGAGGTGGGCAAAGACCGGACGCGCCACTGCCACAGACCATGACTGCAGCATCCGCCTCTGGTCGAGGTCCGGCAAGTGGCGCAAGAGGAAATCGACCGGGAAAATCTACAAACAAGCCTCAGAGAAGATAAATGCAAACCTATGGCTACCCTACAACGAAGAGCTTCCACAGCCAAGAGCACACGCTCAATGGACCATACACAGTTCCGATAGGCCTATTGTATCTGTTTCGACGGTTGCCGATTGACCTCGCTTTGTGGCTGATACCTCTTTCTCTAGACAACACGCATACAAGAAAGATAAAATAAAAGGGTCAGATGTACACCCAAAAAAATTACACAGAAATATCAAAGATATACTATATATCGCAACACCAAGCGAGTAAGCTACCTGGTCAGTGAGCAAGAGACACATGTACAAAATTCAAAGAAGTACTGTGCATGCAGGGAGGGAAATGGGCGAGCTACACCCGGGGCCATTGGGTAAATAGCGCTATGCTCGCTCACTCACTCACTAACTCACTCACTAACTCACTCACTAACTCACTCA